ATCTTACAAAAAACTATTGTATTGAATAGAAAAATAAATACAAGACTTTAGAAAATAATCAATTACTTACTAATATTTAGCTTGATATTAGATAGAATAAATAGAATAAATGAAAAATTTGGGCATGAAATTCTGAACAATTAATTTTAAATTTGAATCAACAAATTTTTGTGCTACAGAATAATTTACAGTACCTATAAATATACAAGCGAATATGACATTACAACTACTACCACTACCAAATTTTTCAGGTGAGTATAATGAGGATATTGATATTTTTATTAGTCAATTATCATCATATTTAGCTGGCACTATACATGCCACCAAAATAGGTTCCAAAAAAACCTTATTTCGTCTCCATTAGAGCAATTTGAAATTTTTTATATGCAAGAGCAAATCTAATTTAGATAGTTATGTTCCTTATAATTTCGTCTCTTCAAAAAAAATACCAAAAAATTTCATCTTTTAAGTAAAATAGATCAAAAACAATTTCGTCTTCAAATTTTAATTTCAGGTTTTAGACTCTGAAATAATTTTGTTCACATGTATAGCTAGCACTAGTATAGACCCAGTTGCTAATCAGGATCAAGCATTTAGTATTCTTAGAGAGTGTCTACATGGGCGAGCATTAGAATAGTTTGATTGAAAAATTCTTGGTAAATGATAGGAACTTCACAATATTTTTGCAAATCATAGCCAAGCTGGTATAGATACTCTTCAGGCTTATACTATAGCACAGATGAATACTAGTAATAGCTTTAGAAATTCTTCAATTGCTTATAACTATGCAAATACTGCTGATAATAATACAGTAGCAGTAGATGTTTCTATGATTCCAGCTAAAGCTTTTACTGAAGATTAGCATCTGGCTGGAGAGTGACTATCAGATAGATCTGTTAATACAATTAATACAGGTAATGCTAATCCCATAGTATTTGATAACATTCAGATTGGTCAAGTATTATATTGGCTCAGAAATGAATATCCTATAGTAATAAGTGAAAAGCACAATTTAGTATATGGATTATTAGCTCAAAAAAGTAAACCTATAGAAGAATTTTACTCGAAACTCTTAAAATATAGAAAATGCTTAATCTCGACGAGCAACAGAATAAGGGTTAATTTTTACGAGGTTTGTCTTTAGACTTGGAGGATGATACAAAATGCATTGGTACTAAGCAACTATTAGCTGATCTTTTTGAAATTTTGGAGCGAATTGAAATGCGAAAGGCAGAGAAAAAATTAGGATTGGTTAGTAAAATATCTTAGTCTAGTTATAAATCGTTATCTAAATTAATAATATCTGCACAAGAGTTGAAGACTCAGTACTTTGTACCATCTCAACCTGTTTCTTTGCAATCAGTTACTTAGCAAATACAACCACTACAACTAACTCAGTTGTTTCAATTTTACTATAGATCACAGCTCTTAGGAATATATTAAACTATACAAGATTCGAATATTAGTAGATTATATAATAGATTACTAGGTAGGTTCCAGAATTTGTTCCTATCTCCAAGCTCGATTTATCTTCAAAACTACAGATAAAAAAAGTAAAAGTTAACTTTAATAAAGAACAGGCTTATCATCTGAAGATATGACAATACAATTTACTTCGAGTTTATTCTTGACT